AGATCGAATAAACTTACATAACCCTACTGGAAATTTAACACAGTATTGGATATCGGGGCCAGTTGATACTAATCCTAAAGTAGGTCTGTGTTTGGTCTCAAATTTCTTATTAGTTTTTTTCTACTAAATATAACCGCCAATTCAGTAATGCTATCGATGCGTCTTTAAGAAACCTAAAAGACCTACTAGGATTTATTATGGAGAGACCCAATCTTAACAACACGAAATACCCAGATGACCACATGTGGTAGACACAGAATCAAAACTGCAAAAGCAATTGCACGAAGTAGTAAAAGGAAAGTGGAATGATAAGATGAACTATCCAAATTTTAAAATGAAAGAATGTTTATTTACCAGCAAGAAGAATATGCCAAACTGTGAATTACGAATTGCACATGTCAAAATAAAAGAGAATGCATGGTTGTCATCAAGAAGAGCTGCACAAACTGCTAACTATGAATTAATGTTAAAATATTTGGGAAGAGTTTTAACAGACGACGATAAATGCGACACAGAAATTCGAAGGCGCATTGGTATAGCGAAAGATGACTTTCAAAATTTAAGCAAAGTATTAAGAAACAGGAAGTTTTCGTAAAAAAAGTACTTAACTGTTATGCAATATCGGTACTCCTACATGACAATGAATGCTAAACAATTTCATCAGATAAGGCTTGAAAATAAAATCGTACGTGACCAAGTAACCTTCATTTTAACCTTCATCGTATGTGATCCAAGTAATCTTCATTAAATTTTGAACTGAAATCTTTATTTAATGTACGAACATAGACTGTGAGGCACCTTGTTACTACAGGGCAGAAAGTTAGAAGTTTAGAGAAGGCGAATATCATCTTGAATAAGTTGGAAAATGATTCTGGAATAACAGATGTCATTTTTGTTTATGATCGATTTCATCACGATTTTTCTGTTAACCTTGGAGAGTAATTATACATTCTTATTTCTCAAAGTAGAGTCCAATAATGTTATAAATAACTCGGAGAATTCCAGAAAGATATATTTAATCATTTCTAAGATACAACGGTTCAAAGCTTAATCTAACAATTGAACAATTTGGACAATTTTGCCGTTAAATTCGGTATACCCTTAATAATGCTTTAGGTAATTTTTTCATTCTTGTTATTACTATCAAAACGTTTCGGCCGTTGTGCCCTCCGACCTTATTCACATATCTGTAGATCCAAGTAACCTTCATGAAATTTTGAACTGAAATCTTTATTTAGCGTATGAACATAGACTGTTCTCAGTTCGTTGCTCTTGTCTTGGAATATCTCGTCTAGTTCTTATTTAGTACTGCTCGGTTAGTGTTAACTCTCTTTCCATTGAGTTTAAATTTCTACTAACCGAGCAAAAGATTGAAATCATAATTATTTTGTCACTATATTCACAAACCAACGCTTTAATTCACTTGGCTATTATTCGGTTGAAAGAATCGAAATATTTGGGATTATCTATAAGAATCACATACCCAAGAGAAAGATCACATTAAATCTTTCAATCATTTCGATATATCATCGCTTCTCTGATCGAATACTGTAAATGGATATTAATGTACAACAATGGCACTTTCAACATTCCTGGTATAGAAATGTTCATAATGTTCAAATCGGTTCACTGGGAGAAATGTTTATTATGATTACCGAGGTTTCCGTGAAAAATGAAAGTCATATTCATATAAAAGGTCAAATTTCTGAAAGTCCAGAAATAGTTCCAGTCTGATAACAGAAATTTCCAATTTATTTTGTAAGACGTAATTATAGGATTATGCACCTGCATTTTTCTGTCTGGGAGACATAAGACAAAAGATAACAAACAAAAAGCATTAGAGATTATTTATAAAAACTCATACACCTAAGGCGGGAAAGATAATCTTCAGTTTTTCATCACTTCATGAATCCGAATTAGCCATTATTTAGTAAGATACCTTACCTGATTGAATATTGCAACGCATCGACAAAAATGCCATTCGTCATTCACCCGTCACCCTAATGCGATTCAAATTCTGAAAATTGATTTTTAAATAACGCGAAACTTTTATGTAAAGAAATTTCTCCATCTCAATTTCTGGAATAAAGAGTTATCATTATTTACATTATGTATATTCGAACTAATGTCGTCACGTTTCGGTGTTTTGTGTCGTCCGCCCTTCTTCAGGTGTTTTGTCAATCCGGGTAACTTTAGGGTATTTCGAACTGAATAGTATAGAAGAAAATAGGACAAAATAAAACTACTAGACAAAGCAAAAAACCGGAGAACCGGATGTCTGTAGGAATCGTTGACTATACTAGCCTATGAAGATCTCCTCAGTCGGCCTAGCATAGGAGTAATTGTCATATGTGAGTCGTGAATAAATAAAGAGAAAATGCTTTAAGACAGCAATAAAAATAGAGAAATAAAGATGAATGAGGTCAAGCAGAAAAGAAGAATATTAGCTCTAGATTCAGTTCTAGATTCAGTTCTAGATTCAGGATTGTCCCAGGGGACAATACCCAAATAGATTAAAACGCCGGTTGGTGAATTTGGTGACATAGACATTGTGAGTTTAATCCTTGTACAGATTAGTACAGAATTAGACTCAAATTGGACAGTATTAAAAGAACAAGGTCATATATATCCCTGAACAAAGACAACAGAATGAGAGCAATTTAGACTTTAGATTAAATAAAGGGTGCAATTCGAAATTCCCGGAAAGTGTGTGTGTGAATAAGTCAAGCGTAGTGGATGGGGGGGAGACATCTTAACGAGACTGATTGAGGCTTTCGCTCTCCTGAGAAAGATGTGTTCGCCTAGCTCAATCAGGTATAGAATTGATTTTTGTATTAGCATTTAAATAAGTTTTACTTGCCTACATGATGTAAGGTAATTTGCCTCTTTTATTTATTTATTCAGTCATTTAGTTTTTGTTTTCAGTGGAGGTTGGGGGTAACTCTTTCCTCCACCACATGAGATATGGGAATGTTTCGTTTACACACACGCACATACACACACACACACACACACACACACACCACACACACACACACATAGATAGATAGATAGATAGATAGATAGATAGATAGATAGATAGATAGATAGATAGATTCGACCTTCTCACAAAGAAGACTGTAATCGAAATCTTATATCAATCATTATGTCAACTGGAAAAGGACAAATTGATAATACTCCATCCTAACCTCAAAGATCTTCTCAAGGTAGAAGGTCTAAAAGAAGGTCTAAAAGGGTTCTTGTTTCTACGTAATAGAAACAAGAACATTTCAAAAAACTCAAAATTATTGCTACAGAATTAAAAAAAAAAACAAGCTTAATATAGTCATCAAAAAAGCTGATAAATCCAATATTTACTTAATTTTGGATAAATTAGATTATCACAAAAAACTTCTTCTAAATTTACTAAATTGAATAAGAACACCACTGAATCTCTAAAGAAATATGTTAATAAACTTATAACATCCAACAATGCTGTTCCAGGATCCTTAAAAATAAACAAAATTACTGGAAATTACCAACCTAACTACTTATAAGGTAATCTTAAAATACACAAACCGGGATACCCATTACGACGTATTATTTCACAGATTTCAACATGCATATACCAACTATCAAAATTTCTCAATAATATTATTACCCCATATCTCCCTACTAAATATAGCATTAAATCTACCCATGAATTCCTCCAAATACTTAAAAGCACAAAATTAAAAACAAACCACGGGATTCTTGCGTCACTTGATGTAGAGAATTTATTTACTAATGTTCCCGTCTCCGAAACTATTGATGTTATCATTAATTCGGTGTATAAAAATAATTTAATTCCACCTCCATCAATCCACCCGATATTTTAAGAAAACTATTGCTCGCTTGCACCACTAGAGTTCCTTTTTATAGCCAGAATGGTACTATTTATACACAAACTGATGGAGTAAGTATGGAAAACCCTCTCAGGCCGTGCTTTTCCAATTATTATATGTCCTATGTTGAAAACAAGGTTTTCACTAAAGTTATTAAACCTGAAATATATGTTCGTTCTAGAACAAAATTAAATAGGGCAAAATTAAATATTATATACGTATTTAAATGCCCATTAAGGAATTGTATTCCTGATCAATCAAAATTCGTAAATAATTATATCGTCCACACTACATGTTTGACACGCAGACTCACTCTACACCTTTCTGACCATAGCTCAATTAGATCTCATTTAAATATTCACGGGGACCTATCGGACACTTTTCGTAACATACTTGTTGACAACACTAATATAATAGCACATCTACATGCAAAAAGGCCAAAAATAATCGAAGCCTTATTAATAAAAACAAACAAACCAACACTTAATAATATTAACTTTGAACATGGACATAATATCTTGACCGTGTTTTAAAAAAATGAAAATATTTTATAAAGCATACATATATATACGTATTCTCAAGCAGTTCCCCATCTAGGTACTGAACAGGCTCGATGTGGCTTAACTTTGGTGATCTTCCGGGAAGCGGTGTTTCAACGTGATATCGGCGTAAGCTTGTCCTTATAAGGTTGCTTCCCTCTGTCTTTTTTACAAATACTTTCACGGCAACTGCTCAGATGAGCTGCTTTCGCTGGAAGGTGGAACAAATTTTAGGGGAGATAACAAATAGACAAAATTTATTAATAGCTACAAAGACAGGATGTTGTGGAGGGCTATCATCGCCAACGCCCTGCATGTTATTGATTTATTCGTTTTTTTACGGTTTATCAGCCATTTGCACGTTATTTAAAGCCAGAAAATATTTTTAAATTGTAAGTGTTTGTGTGGGGGGATAATAATGGTTTAATGACACAAGTCTTATTGATTAACCGATAGCTGGGTGGAGAAGAGGAGGATACATAACTTTCCCAAGGGCATTTGGGCCCAAGTGAATTTAACGAACCCAACGCAAATTGGAACTCGGTTCTCCGATTAACAATTCCGTGTCATTATCCATTACACCACCCGCACATCCAAGCTTACAGTACCTGGTATTCTCAAGCAGTTCCCCATCTAGGTACTGAATAGGCTCGATGTGGCTTAACTTCGGTGATCTTCCGGGAAGCGGTGTTTCAACGCGATGTCGGCGTAAGCTTGTCCTTATAAGGTTACTTCCCTCTGTCTTTTTTACAAATACTTTCACGGCAACTGCTCCGATGAGCTGCTTTCGCTGGTTCCCAGACTTCGTGAATTTAAGCGTTTAACTCGGCTGGCATCTTGCTCTCACCCTTTCACTGTCGAAACTGTTAAATTTAGATGTCTCTTCTACTCCAATAGTTTCATGTCTCGCACTTCTCGCCTGTGGAACTCCCTCCCGATAGCTATAATATCCAAATATTCAAATGTAATGTCAATCGACATTTCCAGATCTCCTCATCTATCCCCTAACCTTCTCTTCATCATTTCCTCTATCACTCCTCTTTGCTCTCGCTCAAACTCTCTGTAACCCCATGCGTGCTAGTGGCTTTCCGCCTTGCTTGGGGTGAAATGCTTAAAATAAAAAAAGAAATTAAATCTTACTTTAGAGATCCTTCTCTGCACCCCCATTAGAATGTCTGATAGTCAACTTTTTGAGAGCAACTCTCTGCGTCTGCTCGGTCTCACGTTGACTGCTGACCTGAGATGGTACAAATACATTGAGTCATTTGCTTCTTCCACTGCGAGGAAAGTTGGCTCTCTGTGCCGCGCCAGGAAATTTTTCTCCCCGGAATCGATACTTCAAATATACAAATCAACCATTCACCCTTGCATGGAGTATTGCTGCCATATATGGTCTGGTGCACCTTCTGTTTACCTTGGAGTTCTTGACAAGATCCAGAGACGGATATGTAATATAATTGGCCCTGATCTGGCGTCTCGTCTACAGTCACTCTCTCACAGACGCGCCGTCGCCTCTCTCTGTCTTTTCTACAAATACTTTCATGGTAATTGCTCCGATGAGCTGCTTTCACTGGTTCCCAGACTCCATGAATTCAAGCGCCCTACGAGGCTGACATCCTGCTCCCACCCTTACACTGTAGAAACTTTTAAATGTAGCCGTCTCTTCTACTCCAATAGCTTCATACATCGCACCTCTCGCCTGTGGTATACCCTTCCCAATTACTGTTTCCCTGAGTGCTATAATCTCCAACTATTCAAATGTAATGTCAATCGACATCTCCAGTAACCTTGATCTATCCACTATCCGTCTCCTCATCCTTTCTTCTATCACTCCTATCTGCTCTCGCTCCAAATCTTCTGCAACCCCCTACATCATAGTGGCTTCACGCCTTGCTCGGGGCTTAATGCTTAAAAAAAATAATTTTAATGGGAAATTTTCGCTATGTCAGTATTTCTCGACATTTTTAATCATCGGCACACCTTGGGGCAAACAAAAATATCACGACACACTTAAAGTGTATACATCCAAATGTTATAAAATAAAACCATAGAATTAAGAAAAAATACACATTCAAATATGAACTTACTTTATTTCAATGTTTCTATTCAACTATATGTGCAGCTTATTTAGTGTGAAACCTGTGTTTGGTGTTTTTCGCGATTTCTTCAATGTTTGGTTGAATGTGTGATAAGTAGACTCTCATTTCTTCTTCAGTTAAGCGTAATCTTTCTTGCTTCTTATTTTTTATATTATTTAAGGTTATCGGAAACTTGGACAATATTAATTCATAATTCAATATGATTTTGCAAAAATTTTGAATTAAACAAAGGATATTGAATACAATTATATGAAAAAAGGTTATTATTCATTTATTCAAATAAAGGAAAATTTTTAAAAGTTAAAAAATAAAAAATAAAAATCCTTTTTAAAAAAATAGAATATTAAAAAAAAGTATTTAAAATAATCGAAGAATAGCGAAAAGAATTATTTTTAAACAGTTTAATACTTCTTCATTTATTCAAATACTAACGCTGTATCGTTACTACTTCAACACACATACACACACACAACAAACCAACCACCCACACACACACATACATCTATGTGTACGCCGTGACTGTATTTCGCGACACAGTTAAGAGGATAACGCGGCACGCTAGTGTGGTGTGGCACGGGGGTTGATAATCACAGCGCGAGGTGATGAGAGAAAAACGCCCAAAAGCAAACGAATCCAAAAGAATCTCTATCTAAAAGGCAGGATGTGTGTGTGTGTGTGTGTGTGTGTGTAACGAATGCATGGCCGCAATTTTCGACGGATTTGCACCAAAATTTACGTGCACATGATCCAAGTTAGCGGGAAGGCCAAGACCGACTTTGCATTTCCCAACTCCCGTCGATAGTGGAAATAATCGATTTTTTCATGCTTCTACGGCAGTTTTCATGTAGTTTGCGGTCATTTTCTACTGGTCAGAGTGAGAGCCTATAGCTGGCTGCAACAAATAGACAGGAAGATTCTATTGGCCAGCGTGAGAGCCAACAGCTTACTGACACGAATGTTAACTAGCATGCTAGCATGCAAAAAATCGATAGCTGCATTCGTCACAAGTGGGAAAATTTAAATCTGCATGGCACTTTACTCCAATTGGCTCATTCGCTTGCTTAAACTCAACGTTGATTCTGATTCCGCAGAACTGGGTTGGGTGTGAAAAAGTATTTGTTGTTAACATTCTTTTTTCATTCGGTTTTTCCAGTTACGAGTCCTTTTTTAAAGCTGATCGTTTTGTGTTCATTTTGTTTAGTTCTTTTTTAGTAACAGATTTAATGTTTAATATAGAGCTTAGAAAAAATTCGCAGTGTGAGATAGGCAAGAAGTAAGGCATGTAGCAACATCAGCACGGAAAAGGGCACTCCTTTAAAGGCAAGGAAGGGCAAAAATATTTTAATTCAAGGGATAGCGGTTGCTGTATGAGTCGTACGATTTTTGAATCAATCACGGGCAACGCCGGGCCATGCTGCTAGTCTTCACATAATAATTTCAAAGATCTATTCACCGAATCTCCAGGATCTTTTCTAAAAGTTGAAAGTACCGGGATCACTCCATGAAATCTAGTAGCTACCTGTTGTTTTGTTCGTTTGTTTGTTTTCTTTAAGAAATTATAGTATTTTTTTTTATTATTCAATTCATTTTTACCGATTTGCCGGCCGAGTAAATAATTGACCAGAGGTTTTACGCATTTTATATGAAAATACAATAGTTAATGGTTAAAGGTTTTTAACCATATACTATTGTTTAGACTATAATACTGAAAATGATCTTCTGAATGTATTTCATCCTTTATTTATTAACCAAATTAATGGATATCTATTCACATACTCTGCTTTTTTTGCACTTACGATGGCGACTGATGTATGTTCAATGTTTTTAGTGGACATTTTTGTTGGTGTTGTTATATAAAGTGAATATATGTAGAATATTTTAGTTGGTTTTAATGATGATAATTAACCTGACCATTTTGTGACGATGCATCCCATAATTTTAAGGGATTTCTAATTTTCTCTCTCAATTGTACGTTATTAGCCAAGTTCTATATATGAATAAAATCCGCTCATAAATAGCGACTCTAGGATGGCACATCAACGTGGTGTAATGGTTCGCACGCTGGTCTCGCTAGATAAATTAAGATTCAATAGTGTAGTTCGGTCCTTACTTTCCGCCTTATGCCACATTTAATTGACGCTCAGAAAATCACCCTGAATAACTAATGTTTAGGTTAATACTATCTTTTATAAAAACAGGCCCATATTCTTTTTTGGTAAATATTTTCATCAAAACTAGCATTTTTACGTGGGTTTCACATTATATTTGAGCTAATCTACTGAGATATTTGACTGAATATGCAATGGCGTTCAGATGCTTTTGACCACTAGAAATGTATACTTTTCTTATTTTGAGTAATATTTCACCCAGAGCCATGTTAATAATCATTACAACAATGAACTTAATAACCGTAAAAAAGCAATTTTCTTCAAAACTGGCCTCCTTCTTGGCTCTTAATCAGATTTTTGCCCGAAAGATACTCAGAAATGCATAAATTGTAAAAAATGCCTGGAAACATTCAAGGAATAAATATCTTTCAAAAAAGGATGGTTGCTACAATATTCTGAAGATGACTACGAAAAACTTTTTCGTATCTCCAACATCTACTATTTCCTCTTTTATATAAAACATGTAAACAATAAAAGTAGCAATGATTAGGATGGTAATATTGTGAAGGGCCGTTTCCATACAGGAAACATTAGACATTTAATGACCAAACAGTTACTATCGGTTGAAATTTAAAAGATCTTTCTATTAAAACACTTTTGCAAGCAAATAGACATCACAAGTCCATTGTTATTATTCTTTTAAATAGAGATGGGCGTTTCCTTCCTAAACTTTTGTTTAAGGAAGTGGGAAATATCAACATCTTGATTATATCATTATTTTCTCTTCTAGTTACATATGCTATTGCTGCTGAAGTTTTCAAGTGATTGGGAATTTATTTGGTAAATATTTTTGTGATCATGTAGCGCCAATATATAGGTCTGATGAAGGGGATATCTTCTTAAGACATACAAGGTTCATTCACTTGAAGCCATTTTTAAGCACTTGCCTGAAACAACGATTGCTTTGGGATGATTGTTTAGACATCCCAATGTATCATCGCTTCAATGATCTGTCTCTCCGCTTAGCCAGGATCTTTTTTCTGCTTCATTTTTTATGTAAGGTTTACTTACAACTTTAAATATACTGTTATCTCACGGGGTCCCACATATGTGCCTGTTTTGTGATTGTCTCGAAAAACAAAGTAATGCACGCGGACACTCCCTTGAATGAATAGTCTGTGCCTTACAACAGGATACTTGTTATTCAATAACTCCATTATTCATATATATATATATATATATATATATATATATATATATATATATATATATCAATCAGTTATGTGCCATGCGTGATACACGCTTAGGCGATCATGTATCTTTAGATACATCACTGACGAGGCAGATTTTTTCCCGCCGTAGATTGCCATTTCTTTCTGCGGTAGATCAGTTCCCGTCCAAGGCTATACAACCCGGTCTGTCCTGCTATTTACCCATAGCTGGGGGGAGAGAGAAGAAGAGGATTCATACCTTTCCCGAAGTAAGTGAATGTAACGGATTCG